GTCAGTGGGGTTTATAAAGGTATTTTTCACTGGGGGGTAACTTAAAAGAATGGAAGCACAGTTATCAAATAGGAAACAAAGGTGAGGAAGAAAGTGCCATGAAACTGACCTGAAATAAGCTGGCTGTTCTTCAGCTTCAAATTTCAAGCAGTAAAGCAACAAAAGGGAAAGAAAATTAACGTGATTTGAAATAAGCCCCCAAGAAACCTTTCCCCAGTGAGCACAATGGACCAGAACTGACTGACTCCTTTCGCTATGGTCATTATGGGCAAGGCACTAAGATGTGCCATTAGCTCTGGAGGGACTGTAAGGGGAAGTGGTATTCCAAGTGTCAGGGCTGTAGACAGGATACAGCTTCCCAAATTCCCAGCTCCTAACTTAGCTAGGGCATAAGCAAATCTCTCACCACGTTTTCCCACTATGGTAACATGTCAGGTCTATGAAAATGTCACTTTACTCAGCTGTTATTTACGGCTGTAGTGAAAGATCTGGCTGAGTTATTTGACACACATCCACATTCTCCGCTCTAGCCGATAAGCAATATTTGTTTAACAGATGATTTATTTTCCCAATATCTTCACGTACTGCACATGACAAGTAATTTATACTAAAGCCGGATGAGATTATATTTGGAGGTGATAACAGTAAAAGCAGACCTGAGGTAGAAAGCAGGGCTTTATTGTTTCAAAGACTTGCATCCTTCCTGCCTATCTCCCTCTTCTATTTCAAGTGGGAAATGAGTGCTGCTTTGCTTATTGTCCTCAGTGCTATACAGGGATACAATGGAAATTAAGGAGCTAGAAGACACCACCCTGGGTATAGCCAAGTTTTTCACGGTAGCTGTTGAGACCCCTATGACTGTTTCCCAGAAGGGACATCTGTCACTGTTTGCAGATTAGGTGAGGTACAGAGTCATTTCCCCTCCTTTGCATTGAATCAAGGAGGAAAAGGAGCAGGTATGCATTTGGAACTGGACAGGGGACAGCCAGGTGGGGTTTGCCTTTGCTAGACAGTGGATGAAGGCGTGAAACTGAAACCACCACCAACCCCTGCTGCGAGAATCCCTGCAGGATCCCGCCCCACAGGAGTGGTTCTGAAGCAGGTCAGGATGCCAGGCTGCAGCCAGATGGGTGCCTCACTCCCTGCCCAAGCCTTGGGCTTTCCCCAGAGCTGCTGGGACCCACGTGTGCTTAGAGAGGCATGTGCCCTGCTCCGTGTGCCGGCTGCAGGCTGGCTCATGTTGGGGGTGCTGAGCCTTTCTCACATGTGCTTTCCTTGCAGGTCTTGGCAGGCTGGAAGTTATATATTGCCTGGGAACCCTTTGATGGCCATGCTCCCCAACTAATCCCCACAAAATGGTCCCACTTCCTGGAGAACTTTCCATGTAGGATGAGGTGCTGGCTTTGTGGCCCAAGGGCTCTTCAAAATGACAGGATTGTCAGGAAGAGGTGTTTTGAGTTTGGCTTTTTTTCTTTAATGTCAGCCATAAATCCAACAGGTTTGGCACACACACTGACCTGAACCCCGTTGTTGGGACCATGCCTATGAAGGCTGTGCCAAGTGGCAAGGCACTTGAGATGAAGCTGTAATCTCCTCCCACCATGCAAGACTGATTCTGGGACCATACCGCTGTCCATCATAGCTCCTGAATGTAAGTAGAAATGGGCATTCATCTGACAGCTGACCCACTGCGATACAGTCCTGCAGAAGTCAGTGCTCAATGAGGCAGGCTGCAAGGACAAATAATTCTTTTAAATAAAAAGGAACTCACTGCAGTGGCAGAACTTGTTGCAATGGTGACAGTGTTGGGGCAAGAAGTCTGCTGCTTCAAGAAGGCATGAATGATGGTTCTGTAGATGAATGTGATCCTGATCTCCCCTGATACCCATTAGGAGTCATGCTACTGAATGCAAAGCACTTATTTCAGCAGTTCTAGCCTAAAACTATATCCCAGGGCAACAACTGGGAAAATGCTAAACAGATTTGGCTACTTTGATGTAATTTCATTCCCTAACCTTCCAGCAACAACTTTTTTCTGTGTCCTTCTAATATTATTAGAAATGTATTTAATTGTATTTATGTTCCTTTTGGCCCAGCATTGCATTCAATGCCCAGAGAATTCAGTAACCCAAATCTTAAGAATCAATTTAATCATATTTCAGATTTAAAAAGCAGAACTAGGTAAAAGTCACTTTCTATTTTCATTGGGGTATTTGTGCTTAAGCACAAAACAACTGACAAATTCCCTACGTAGACTTTATTTGAAGAAATAAAAGCCAATTTCTCCTGCACTGCAAGTAAAATACAAGGGGGGGGAAAAAAGTCCCTAAATGGTGTTGAACTTGTGGTATTTATGACTCTGACCCTAAATTGCCTTTCATATTTTCTTGGATCCCAAAGCTGTAGCCAAATTGGCTGGTTAAATGTGAATAAATGGTACATTGTCTTTGAAACAAAGTTGTGCTTATTAAAGAAGAGAGAGTTTACTTTTTCGGAGTCACAGTTCATAACACAAAGCAGAGAGAGCACCCATTTTACAGACAGGAAAGCCTTCGATAAGGGCACACAATCTCATTTTAGTCTGTACAAGAAGAGATGTCCTAGAGCAGGAAAATTCTTTGGCATTATTTGTGAAGTTGGACAAAATAGCTGACTGCGAAAGAACACAACTGGGTTCAGACTGGTGGTTCCGATAGGTCTGCAGTGAGGAATAGCATGAAATACTTCCCACAGATCTGGAATGTTGTTTTCTTCACCTGACAGCAGTTTATTGTAACTGTACGTACTAGAACTTTGGCTGTGACTGAGCTTATGCATGGTTTTATAGTATTATAGCACAAAGAGTACAGGCTGCATTCCTGGCTCTGTCACGTTTATAAGCAAAACAAACACTAATATAAGAGGCAATTAAAAAAGGCATGGCTTGGTGTGCAAATAGCTGCAATTATTGATTTGCCAATTCTGCATGCTCTGATGAACAGCAGAGTAGTGGAGTTAAACAGAAGCGCATTCATGGATTGCATAATTGCTCATAGATCTGCAAGTCCTTGTTAAATGGCAAGATTAAAGCTAATTAGACTGAAATTTGGAATATGAAGCAAGCAAAGCTCGCTATGTTTGTCCTGCTTTCTTAATAACAACTGCAAGTACAGTATTTGCAGGGTGGAAATGAGAAATGAAATTCTGTACAGTCAAATAGAGTGAAAGCTCCTAGTTAGTTCATTATTACATTGTACCACAGTCAGAGGTAAACAGCACAGTCCTGCACCACTGTTACCAGCATGGTTATTACATTCCTGTTGCAATGTGATACAAAATCTACAGCAGGAGTTCCTCTGAAATGTGTAAAATGTTCATTTATGATCAAGTTAAACTGGAAAACTTAATTTTGCCTTATGCAGACTTAGTTTCCCACAGGAGTCAAGCACTAAAACTCTCAGCCCTAACAGCCCAAGAGCTGAAATTGGTTTTTCTCATGCTCTTTCATCTTTGATATCTAAGGGCTTTCTTGAGAGGAGTGGTGGCCAACTGTCCCATCACTGGAATGGAGGCAGTCATATCCCCATTACAGAACTCTGCAGACACCTCCACCCCAGCTGTTTTCTGGTCCAGTCAGTCTTCATTCATCTGCCTCCTACATTTTATTTTACAAACACATAGCAACAGCCTGATCCTGCCAAACCAGAGGCGTGTGGGCAACTCTTTGTACGTAAACAGTCCCATCAAGACGGCACACTCCCAGGCATCCTCAGGTAAGGCTCAGTATCAGGTTGAGATCTGATTTGCATAATTAACACCTCACACCCTATACACCATAATTTGGTGAGAGGGAGTCGCTGCTCATGGGGAAGGTTTTGGCACGCCCGGGAGTAAAAGGCAGTTTTCAATAACATGCTAAAACAGCCTTAGAACTTGGACAAGTAAATGAGGGTGTGAGAAGCCGTTGAAAAATGTGTCTACTGGGAAGAAGTTTGAATTGTCACTAATCCATACATAGATAAAATTTTCCCATGGAAAGATTTATGCTGTAGTTTTTATTCCATATAGAAGTCCATTGACTGTGCTGGATACAACTGCAAATGCCTTTTATATGTTAAAAATTGAAAGATCCTCGGGGAAGAACTTTCATCATCTTTCAAAAACCTCCAACACCATTGCTTATGCTCCGAAGTTTGAGTTTTAAAAACAGTTTTTATAGCTAAGGGATAAACAAGATGAAGCAGAATAAAAGTCACAGTAAATCTACCCAAATCCTATTCCACAGTCAACTGTTTCACTGGCACTGACTCAGGATAACTGAAATCTGCAGTGCTCCTGCCAGCTGTCTGAGCTTACAGACCACTAACCCTGCTCTGCTTGGCCATGCATCGCACAAACCTTTCATGCAGATGCATGCCACAAAACCCCACTGCAGTAAAGGGCACAGGCACGCAGCCTTCCCCAGACCACATCTCCATACCAACTTCCCGGACAGACATCCATCCCCTGCCCCAAGTTAACAGGCAATTTTGTCTTTTCTTTCAGGAAGAACTCCAGTAAACGTGGCTCCACGCTCCTGACAAAACAAATGTGGGATGCCAATGCATAAGGACATCTGGGAGCCTGTCTCAGTCCAGATGGATGCAGCTCCAACCTGTATCTGCCAGGCAGGACAATGTCACTGAGAAGGAAGTACACTTTCTGTTCTTAAGATAGGCAGGGGAGCCTTTTCAGACCTGGGTTTCACTCTCATACCTTTGTTAAGTTTACCCAGCCAAACTACCAACGCTTATGTCAGCCTGGGCACACCAGCAGTGATGCCAACGCCAGACTGCAGCCACGATGGGGCACAAGCAGCCCAGCAAGCCCTCGTCTATGGGTGCAGGTGAACAGGCACTGAGGGGGGGACACAGCCGGGGCCCCCTGTCAGCGGGCACAGGCTCTTTCCCCACTGCCCCTACCCCAGGGCTTTCCAGCCCGTCTCCCACCCAGGGCCCGAGTGCCCAGGGTTTGGTTCTTACCACTTTGCCGTCCTTGGCCTCCCGCCGGTGCCCCGGGGCCGGGGGGTCCGCACCGCCGCTGCCCCCAGCTCGGCCCTCACCGGGCGACAGGGAGTAGAAAGGGGGACTGGGACTGGGGGGCAGCCCCGAGTCCGGGCTGTCCAGCAAGCCTTCCCGGCTCTTCTCCTTCAGGCTCTCGTCCATCCCTTGCAGCTGTAGGTGACCTACCATGTCTGGGGGGCAGCGAGGGGGCTGCAGCGGGAGAAAATCCTCCCGCGCCGCCCGCCGCGGAGGGAGGGAAGGGGAAAGGCGCCCGGCGGGCCCCCCCTGAGCCCCGATCGCCGCCACCAGCTTTCCGGAGCCCGGGGTGCGGGAAGCAGCGCCAGCATCGGCCGGACCGGGCTACCCCGGCAGCCTTCTCCGTACCCGGCCCCCGGGCAATGGAAGCAAGGCCCGATCCCACCGGGCGGGGGGACGCGGCTGGGTGCGTGCTGCGGAGCCCGGGGCGGCCCCGCCGGCAGGGAGCGCTGGGCGCGGCGGGGGACGGGACCGGGCGAGCCCCTCTTGTCCACACGCTGCTGCCGCCGTCCGCCCGCCCGCCGCCTCCCGGCGGCCCATTTATCCGGAGAGGGTGGGAGGGGAGCCGGGGAGCGCCCTCCCCTTCCCCCGGCCCCCCAGCTCTGCCCCGGCCGCGCGTTGTCAGGCACTTCCCAGGCGGGGAGCGCGTTTAGCACCGCCCGCCCTCCCGCTCGCTCGCTTCACCCCCAGGCACCCCCCTGAGGAGACCCGAGGCAACCCCCGGCCACTGCGGTACCCCCGGCCCTCGGGAGAGGGGCCTTGCCATCACCTCGCCATCGCAGGGCTGCCGGTTTGCTCTGCTGAACTCCTCTCTTCTGTCCAGGTTCATCTTTGCTTCTTTTCCTTCATTTCTGTGTAATTTTTCTCTCAGTTCTGTGTGATTTTTTCCTCAGTTTTAATCTTTTGCCCTCTTTCACCCCCAAAGCAGCTTTTCCACTCAGTGCCAAGGTGTGAACGCATGAAGGAAGAGTTCTCAAGAGCCATCATCCCTCTTTCCTTTGAGGTGGCCAAGGGTGGCATCACCAAGGCAGTGGGTCACCACGGCAGCGCTGGCTACTGAGATGTGCAAGCCCGCCATAACCCCTGTGGTGGCCATACCGTCATGGCGGCCATATCGTCACGGCGGCTCTTCCACCTCACGCTCAGTACAGCCCCAAAAGCCATCTTTGCCTCCACAGGTGCCGGTCCACAACCACTAAGGTTGTGTTTGAGATCACCATAAACACAATGGGATGGCGTCCCAAGTACCAGCACAGCCGCTAGCCAGGAGGAACAAGGTATGCCAGAGGCATTGCTAGCGCTGAGGGGAATAGAGAGTCCGTATCATCCCTCAGGGTTTGGAGAGGCAAGCAGCGGTTAAACAGGTCAGGCTTGCTGAAGACAGTGTGGATGTTTATTGCACAATAACTGGCTGATGTTAACATTACCTTGTCCACAGCCTTGTTATGTTTTTCTCATCATGTTTTCTCTCTACATAGAGTCTAGACGGTGAGAAATCTGGGGCAGGCCCACTCATGCAGCTTAGCCTCGTGGAGCTTTGTTCACAGCCGCCTCCTCATGAGCTGTTTGCCCAGCACCTAGCAGAATGGGACCGTGGCTTAGTGCTGTGAACCCAACAAACATAGAATCGTAGAATCATAGAATGGTTTGGGCTGGAAGGGACCTTGAAGATCATCTGGTTCCAACCCCCCAGCCATCAGCAGGGGTATCTATCAGCAAGTTAGATTGGAGCCTGTGAAACATGATGTTTGTTGTGGCAGCTGATGAAAATGTGAGGGGTCTGGTACTGCACCTCGTGATGAAGGCTTTCATACCTGAGCCCTGAAGATGGCACAGGGTCCTTGGAGGTAGGGTTGATTGTGAAACGGCCTGCACTCCATCCTCCTGAGGGAGCAGGTCACCCTCTATGGTGGAAGGTGAACTCGACAGCTCATAAAGCTGCGTTTGTTTAGACGTATTCTTGCTCAAGTCAAAAGGAAAGGCCAAAGATGCCCAACCCCACCCTTGATGAAACGAGGGGCCCTCCTCAGAGTGACTGAAGCGATCTGTGTGCACTGAGCTGTGCAGAGGAATGTCACTGATTTATAAATGTCAAACAGGCACCGAGCAGCCCACACACGAACCTCAGTGAATTCTTACCTCTGACCCGCTCAGCGGCTCCAGAAGCCACACAGGCTGATTTAGAGCCCCTCACTGTAAGGGCTCTAATGTCTCACACAGGCTACAGCTGATCTGAAAATGTCAAAGGGGACCAAAGGTCAAAATTTCCATAAATTAGGCCCCTGCTTGCTACCTATCACGTAATAGGATTCTCTGGCCAGTTAGCACTGTGAACTCAGGCATTCAGCACAGCAGTTCCCCTCCAGCCCCGTTCCCCTGCCCCTCTCCTGAACTGGCAAGACTGTACGTGCAAAGGGAAGGAGTGTTTTCAGAGCTGCTTTCCTCCAAGAAGAAAACAGGAGCAGGACAAAGAGACAGTGGACAGGGGTAAGTGCACATCCTTTACTCCTAGAGAGGTGTATTTTAGCTTGGGGAGCAGGTGAGGGGAGACTTTTTTGTCTGTTTCTTGTTTTAAGGTCTACAATCCAGTTTTTCCAGGAGCTAAATGATGTATTTTTAAAGGTAAATTTCAGTACAATACATGTGTTCAGTACAGAAGTGGGTGTTCATGGTTTAGGGTTTGCTGAGCATTAAGAAACTGAAACACTAAGCACTGCTGAGCATCTCCAAGCATTTGCAGAGATATTGACTTCACTTAAAACTGGCAGAACTGCTGCTGCTGGGTTCTGCAGGGCATGTGTGGTAGTACTGTTATTACTGTTGTTGTTCTGCAGGGCCTGTGTGTGCACATATTATAGTGATGTTGTAGTTCTGCAGGGCATGTGTGTGCACATATTATGGTGGTGGTGATACTGTTGCTCCTGTTTATGTTTAAAGTTGCTAGTGGATTGCACATGCAAGATGGAGCTCTCCTGTGAAAAGCACAGAGTGGGCAGGTGATGAGAAATGCTGTCCTGATAGCTGTGATGAACTTGGCTTGCTCTTTGGTCACAAATCCTCCTGAAGACACAGTATTCAGCTCTTGGCCAGTGAAAATTTGCCTGAATGAAAACTCAGTGAAGGGTACAGTATGCAGACACAGGTTTATATATGGGGTAGTAGAATTAAACAGGACATAACTATTGCACCGTGCCCTATTGAAGGAGAAAAACAAGTGAAGGATTTTCAGTTGGGGCCTTGTTCTACTGAAACCCTCCTTAGATCACCAATTCTTCATTTGCTGGGAGGAATCACTAGGGACTGGTACATTCCTGTGTCTTGGCTTGGGAATAGGGAAACTGGGTCCTTGTGTGTGTGGTGGGACAAGGAGGAAGGAAAAGTCTGGAGGGAAGTTTTCTGAAGCAGCTGAGTATAGGCAAACAGGTGCAAACACAGTGCTACAAGGGCAGCAGTGTGATCTAAACTTCCCCTGTTTAAGTTTTAACCCATTACCCCTTGTCCTATCACTACAGTCCCTGTTCACTCTCAGGCAGAAGTGTAATTCTGACAACATCGATTAAAGAAGGCTTTATGGAGAACACATTTCTTGAAGCTACTCTAACCTTTCTTATATTAGTATATTTTGTTATAAAATCCAGTCCTCAGGCCCAGTCTTGATGTGGACAAAGAAATATATGTGAAGAAAGCCCTGTGCTTTGCTGGGAGCTGCAGGGGCTTGGTGCTGCTCAGGACCAGAGACCTCCCATGTGCCAGGCTGGTGGCATTGACAGCTCTTCTCAGGTAATGAGCAGAGCATCAGGGATGCAGTGCAATCTGCATCCTGGCTCACTGAGCTCCATTCAATTGTGTCTGAGGTTTCCAGGTGAGGCTTCACAAACCAAAATGTGCGCAGGTGTTTGTAGTCTTCAGAGAGCCCTCAGTTAAGGGCTGTGACTTTGTGCACATGCTTGGATGTTTGTTCCTCTTTGCTACTGGCCACCTGGCACTCACATCTGGCACTCCTCTTATTGACAGTATTGCTGGGATCCCCTTGCAGCGTCTCAGCAACCTCAACCTTCTCTTTGCCCTCCTTCCCTGTGTCCAGGTTCTGTCTGGGCTCCTGTATCCAGCATGACTGTGTTACAGCATCCAACAGGCTGAATATCCCACTAGTAAGATGCATTGTGAACAGCAGAAGAGAAAGAGGGACTCTGTGGGCAGTAGGTGCAGGAACCCAGACAGCCTTCTTGGTGTGCACAGCCCTGCTTCTGGATAAAAGCTGGTATCCCTCCTTGAATCCACTGGGATTCAAGACTCTCCATGCTTTGATGAGTCCTCTGCCTTCTGTTTTCCTAGCTATTCTCTTAGCTAGATTTGAATACTTTAGGGATCTGCCGTCCCACAGACATGGCAGAATGTCAGCATCACGTGCTAAGTTTCCTTTCACTGCTGCCAGGCTTGAAAGATAAATACAGTGAGGGAAGAAAGAGACAGGATACAAACACCTACATCAGGACTTTTTCTGAAGCAGGCTGGGTGGCAAAATGGGAAGAATGCTAGGAATGTCCATTCTGGTTCACTGTCAAACCTGATCCTGCAGAACACCCACAGCGTAACTTGTCCCAGTAAGAATGGCTTGGGCCACAGTTGGATGTAACTATGCTCTTTAGCTCCCTCCAAAGAGGTGCAGCCTTTCCTCTCTGCAGTGTTCCTTACAATAATGTTGAAAGGTACCAAAGCAGCAGCATCACTGGGGGGAATGTGACCACAGAGTAGGACCTAGGTACATAAGGCCCAGATCACCCTTGCCTGGCAGCTCACAGAGTTGTTCACCTCAGTCCAAAATGATCCAAAACATGAAGGTGGCATACCACTGCTCACTGAACAAGTGCCAATGATGGATAAAGAGAGGAAACACATCCAGAATGCTGGAAATGGATTGCCAATCCAGACAGGCCAATAATAATTCGTTTTGCAGGGCAGAATGACAGAGTTCAAATCAAAGGAACCTTTCTGCCTGAAAAACAGAGGTCATTTTTTTAGAGATAAAATCACCTTCCGAGAGATCTACTCATTTATTTAGGAAGCCCCCATCAGAAATCTTTTCAACCTGGACTGTGAGTCTTGGCTGTCTAGTCCAGTGAAGGCCACAGCCCAAAAGGGAACGAACTAACAGAGGTGGTTGCTCCTGAGAGCTTCTCCTAAGAGGTACCTGGTCTCATTGAGTATCTTCAGGTATGGCTTTGCCAAGTGACTACAAGGGATTGTAGCTTGTTCCTGTCTCCTGTTAGCACTGTGTCAGTCCTGCACTGGGGGAGCAACCGGAATACTATGCATCTCCCTCAAGTTATGGCTGCATCTGCCCTGGCCCTCTTGCACTCCAGATAAACAGTCTCTTCTAGCAATGACTTGGAACAAGCTGTCTAGCAGGAAATGGTGATGAAATCTACAAACTGTCCTTTCTGGGATCAGGAGTGCCTGTTCTTCACCATAAATCAAGGAAGGAAATTTCCTTTAAACATCCTAGGCATGATGTAAGTGCATTGCCCAGGCAAGACACTAGACTTTGCAGCCGAAGTAAAGGGGAACATGCATAAGGTTATACGAAGATGTTGCTTTCTCACATTTGACTGCAGTTTGTACAGTTTATGCCACAATCAAGGCAAAAAAATAACTGAATGCTGTATCACAGACCTAGCAAAGGGTCTGAAGTACAGAGCAATCACCATAAAGACTTCTGCTGACTCTGCTTGCCTTTGAGTAGGGTGCTACATGCCGAGTATTTGATTACCTGTTGAGTCCAGTTGGCATTTGCTGATACTGTTACATACTTGAGTCAAAACACAGCTCCCCTCCTCACTGCCCTGGAGAAGAACCTGCCTGTTACCCTGTGAAATTTCCCCTGCTTGTCTGTCAGGGCTGCTGGGTTGTAATCTTGGAGGATAATCAGCAGCGAAACCGTTCATAAATCACAGCTAACAGAAAAGACGCCGATAGGGTCTTAAATTTCAAGCCATCATTTCAACAATGACAGTCAAAGGGGAGATTAAGAATTCTTTTACATGGAAAAGTTTTTCTTGGAAGAGCAACCCTCTCTTTGGTTGCCTGTAAATACAGTCATGTGGATTTGATTTTTACATGGCCCTTCTGCCCACTTGCAGGGAAGGCTCTGCAACCCCGATGGGCCTGTTCTCACACTGAACTGGCGTGTGGAGGGACTGTGGTGGGATTTGAGTAAGGTCTCAGAAACAAAGAATTGAAGCTTTGCCCAGTGCTAGCAAATGGTCTGCCTGTTTGGGAGGCAGTGGCAGGAACTTCGAGAGATTCAGACCCCTCTTGGCTGCAGTCCACCATGCCTCTGGGCCCAACTGCAGAATGGGAATAAGACCAGTGCCTTGTTTTATGGTGCAAGTAACGCATTCAGAGATTATCTGTACTTACACCTCATGGTGTTTAAGGCTGTAAGGGTATTGTGAAGTCTGTTGCCAAAAAGTGAATGCAGGGATGGATTAACACTCAACCTGGAGGGTAACTGATCTCTCTCTGATCCAGACAGAGTCTTGTCTTGGTTTGTTCGTTGGGACTAAAAGCTATACTTAGGAAAAAAGAAGGGAGAGTGTCTCTGTGTAGTTCTTGCCCTCCCTGCTGTGGATGATGACCAGCAGTGCTCACAGTTTCTGTCTTCAGGTTGGGAACAGCAAGTCTCAAACAGGCTCTACACTCGTGGTCATGGCTGTCCCCAAACAGCCCAGCTGGAAACAGACTCTGCCTGTTCACTGCAGCTCTGGGATAACAAACATTTACAGCATGGTTTTTGCTAACACTAATGAGTTCTATTAGATTAATTACTTAGAGTGAGGTCTGACTTAGCTGCCTCCCTTTTCATCTATGGGGCAAAGTAGAAGAGCTAATAATGATGTTACTGGTCAAAGATGAATCTACTTGCTTAGATCTAATCATGTTCAGAATCACTGGTGAACAGCTACAGCTTGCTTAGCACTACAAGTCTAGAGGTCAGGCTTCCAAGGGTGCATAGCACTGATGCCACTGTGGTAACTTGAAACACAAAGAGCTTGAAAACTGGAGGGATTTAACTTCTGGTCTGTAGAGGATTTAGTGCCAACCTTGCCTGGGGCATTCTCACTTTCTGATAGGTTCATGTATTTAGAACTGGCTTATTAAATTAAAACCAGCAGATGAGTTAGCTCAGTTAGGCTACCTGAGGTTGTGGAGCCTCAAGGAACCCTTTTTATAATTGAAGAAAAAATACCAAGATCAAATCCACCTTCATGGAAGGCTTTGGTTTTTTGTTTGCAAAGGAAGCATCACCCCTTACTATGAAAAAATATAACTCATAGAGCCTGGCAGTGAAATTCTACAAAGGAGAAGAGTTGGAGGAATTCAAGCCTGAAGAAGAAGGAATGGGAGCAGGAGAAGAAACACTGTGTGGGGCAATACTGTCTGCTAAGTCACATAATGTTCTTTCCTCCAGTTACTCTTCCATTTAGAGTGGAGACTAGGTGGCTCTCTGCTGGTTTGTTAACTCTCCTGAATTTCTAGATATAATCTGTGTTTTATACTTCTGTTCTTCTAGCCTGGTTAGTTTTGTGACAAGCAAGAGAAAATACCACAGTGGGAAGGACACTTCTGTTCTAAGCGTTGTTGAAGAAAAGAGCACACCAAAAACTCCTCTGAAGAATGTAAAGCCTCATTGAACAGCTTACAGATGAAATTCTTTACTCAACAGATATGTGTCATTATAAGGACTCCTACAGTTCATATTCTTGGCTAGCCTGTTATGATAGTGTTGTGTCTCTTTGATTTATGCCAGATTATTCTTTCCTGTAATGTCTAGCAGTCACTGGCACGTTTCTTCTCCAGGTATCCACTGCATTTAGCACATTTATAAAGCTTGAAAGAACAATCACAGCTCTCAGATTGCCTGTTGAGATGTGGCATGATGAAAACAAGGCATGACACAGTGACATGTGAGGGACAATAGGGGAGATGGCTTCACTGATCTCTTAGCTCTTATTTCCTACAGCTCTAAATCACATATGACATGAAAGAAATGCTTTGTGCACCATATGGTGACCTGAGGATTGGAATACTGTCTTCCTCCAAGAGCAGCAGCTGTCAACTTGTCACTTGTGGAAGAAAACCAAGAAAAGCAATTCTAGTCAGCTTAAATTCACTGTGCAGGAGCTGCATCGGTGCTGAGTCCACAAACGGAAAAGGAAAAATCAGTCAGAGCTCACTGTCCTAGGGACATCTTCAAGTTAAAAGTCTTTGGTTTCTATGTCTAGTGTAATACCCCACTGAAAACCAGTTGCTTCATGATCTCAGCCTGTCTCCTAATGAAAGAATGGGAGCTGAGAATTGAGCCTTCTTAAGTCCGTAGATGCTGGAACTCAGTACATTCATTGCTAGAGGTCATTTTGCTGAAAAGTTTCCCTCTTGTTCATCCTTGCCATCAATCTCTTAGCAGACCCCCTCACACCCAGACTTCCCCATGGCTTCCCGGGAATAACCCTGTGTCACTTGGAATCTACTCAGCCTTTTTTGATTTCTGTACTAATCAGAGACAGAGACTGACCTCCCTGTACAGAGGGACTGACACAGGTACCTCTCATCAGGGTCTGACCATGCTGTGCCCAGCTGCTGAACAGATGGGTCTGAAACAATACCCCTGGGCATGGGATTCAGGCTGCTCAGCCAAAGCTCCCTGCATTTACCTAATTGCCATCAAGGTTTTAGCACTGGTACATGACCAAGTGTGGTCTCTTGTCCCCTGACAACTGGGCTGAGACCACTGGAGTTGTCAGCTAAATTACCTTGAAGTGATTTAAAGCACTACAACCCAGACCTCATGATGCACACAGCTCCCATTTCCTTTTGTATTTCTTTAATAGAAAAGTAACAGGAAAAGCAATTACTGGCCATATGAAATGTCAGTTCATACAGTATTTCCTACAAGACTTCAAGCAACTCCTTGTTAAAGCAGATAAGTTAATCTGTCTTTTGGTTCAGGTCACAGTAGGTTTTCAGCTTTAAATCACTGTGGCTCAGTAACTAATGGCATTTGCCATATAAATGATGTTGAAAAAACAAGGAATCTGGGTAATTATGAGGTGTATATTTCCGGTGAAAACAACCCACGTGAAGACAGTGTCAGAGAAAACGGTGATTGATCACCTGGATTCTGCTCCCTTGTGTTTTCCTGTGCACTTTCTCTGCACTGTAGTATTAACTGTCAGGCAGTTACTGTAATGAAGTCTGGTAGTGGGCTTTTCAGCCTGAGGAGCTGTGTTACCCTCAGGAGGGGCTCAGCAGAGCGTTGTACCCATGGAGGCTGAAGCTGCACAGCAAGAGGAGCACAGCCCCTTTGGGCATTCAGCTTTCAGAAAGACCAGGGTAAGAGCTTTACCAGAGTTGGGTTTTTTCCACTTTGAATTCTTGCTAAAATGCTGTATGTTCCAGTCTTGACTCAGAGCTCATTAAACTCAACGCAAAGACTCTTGTTGACTTTAATGAGCAGTGGTTTGAACCCTAGAGCTACTACATGATCAAAACTTGTGCTGAGCTGTAGGTATGGAGGTGTTTTGTTTGCATTGCAGATACAATATTTGGCTATAAGGCAGAGATGCTTGGGATTGTTTCCTGTATGGTCTCTGTGCCTCTTTCAGGCGCCCAATAGTTTACTAGATTGTTTATAATTACAGTTTTGTTTCTTAGGTTTAAGAAATTGGCCAAACTCCATCGCAATGTAAAACAGAAGCAACTGAATGCTACTGAAGTTAGTGAGTGAAGTTTGGCTTCTCTTAACAATATGTGTAGTTTTGTTCAGCTGTTGGCCACTGGTGTGAGAGAGCTTGTTCTCATGGTACATCTGGTCCACCACATGCCACAGCACCATGAGTTCTAACACTGAACCTGTGACACAGATTTAGCAGTAGGAAGGGCAAGTCCATGAAGCAAAAAAAAATCAATGTGCAATAGAAAAAAAAATGTGCAATGCACACAGATTTTATTTCAAGCCTGCTCAGGGAAAAGAAATCAGGGACAAAAGCTAAGCTTGGAGCTCAGAACTTCCCACTGAGTGCTATCGTTCTGAACAGCCTTTGGAAAGGTGTGTCACTTATTCTCTAGACTGCCACAACACCCTGGGATGCCGTAAAAATAGCTGGCAGTGCCTGACTGACAGGCAGGAGACGTGTGACCCTAAATTATGATGTTTTCCTTTTCATGATGAAATGAATGCTGCCTTAGACAGGGGCTGGAATACATCTGTTTGCGGTGGTTGTGCCATTTTAGGCCCATTTCTTTTGAAACTGGGGTTGGAATTGCCAGGGATCAGCAGAGCTATGGGCTCACAAAGAGGGCACTGTCTGTGAGGAATCTTTACATAAGCCCTGCACAACCAAGGCAACAGGAGTTTGCACAGCTGCTGCTGGAAGCAAACATGTACTTTTAGCTGACCTGGGCTGATGACTTCGGGTGTTAAATCTGACGCTTTCCAGATGTACAGACCTCTCCTGCCACAGTCCCAAAACATTCAGTCCCCAGGTAAAAAGAAAAATAATAACAATAATAATAGCAATAATAAAAGGGCACTATAAATACCACACCGTAGTATATATGCCAGAGCTGACATTTACACATCGCGTGGTCCAGTTCGAAGGTGAGTGGCATTACTCTCTCCTAAGAGCTGTGTTTTGAACCACACTTGATTCAGAGTTAGTTAGTGCTGCATCTACCTTCCATCCCCCTCTGGTCGAGCACCTTCTTCAGAAAAGGTGCCTAAATACCTAAAGCTCTTTCTGCCTGCTGGGAATTGGCAAATATCTCTGTGAGCATATGACCCTCAGGGAATAGACCTCAACTTGTGCTGGGCCTCAGGACTATTCACAGGACAAAGGCATCCTGCCAAATAGAGAGCAAATTAAGTTTCATGCTTCATGGCGAAACAGAACCTTGAACATCAAGGGACAGACTTATAGGGATGGGATGCTTGTGAAGTATTGTCACTGGAAGAGAGAGAGGGAAGGGGCTGGCTGCCCCCCCACACCATGTCCTGACTTCATCTCTGCTGCTGCAGTTTACAAGCTCTGCTGCAGAAGTCACTAATGACTGCAGAGCAGCCTCTGGGATGACATTGTTCATTTGATTCTCAGAAGGAAATGGAACCTCATCTTTGCTCCAGACCCAGCATAAATTGTTTTCTTCCTTAGACTGGTTATTTTTAACAATTCCCTCCTCGATGCATCCCTGCAGCCCTTGGATGTTGAGATGTTCTTAGGGAATCTGGGGAAGGGCATGGGGTGCCTCAAGAAGATCGTTTATTTTATTCCATTTTATTTAGGTGTGGTATTTAGAAAGGCTCCAAAATTGGCAGCAAGAGAAAGGCAAATACTCTTCTGAACTGGAGACCGCCCTAACACAGACAGCTGCAGCCCAGCCTCTCCTCGTGCTCCTGCCAGTTCTCTCAAGCATGACCTGGTTTGAGGACCACCTTCAGTGAGATCAAAAGGTGATTCTCCCAGTGCTTGCTCCACATGCCACTTTCACACTGCCTGTCAACTGGGTGGAGTGAATTCTGGCCCCCTTTAGTTGAACCATGAATAACTCCAGGGAAGGTAACAGTGCAGTAAAGGTCAAGTGAGATCTGAGAGAGCCTATTAAGCCCCAGAAATGTGTTCTTGCCATGGTGAGCATCCTGGGAAGTGGCTACTCAAAACTATCTCTTACCAGCTGGCAATTCTTTAATTTCTCCATCCTGGAGGTTTGCCTGTTATCCTGGGAAAGGATCCTGGAAATTCAAGGCAGACAGCTGCTGAGAGAGGGTGGATGTTTGGTACTTGTTTCTGGAGGGTTTTGCAGCTACAGAGCAGCAAGCTTCTCACGTCTCCTTTCTTCCTCACTTTTCTTCCTTTCTTACTAATTGCAGTGTTGTGAAAGGGAGGTTTACTCCCTTTAAACCTTTGTTTCTCTCTCTGGCTGTGAAGAAACACTGATGTTTCCATGTTTTTCATGGAATAAAATTTCAAAACATCCTGGTTTGCAGAGGGCAATAAGTTTTACTCTGGCGTTTTTGATGAAAAGTAAATCTTTTGTCATGCTCCAGATTGACATGCTTCAGTTTAGTCAGTTCAGTTAACCCCAAAACTTTGCTTTAATTCCATTCAACTGTGAAAGTTGGCCTTGAATTGTATTTCCTCCTGGAAGCTATCATCCAGGAACTTAATACCCATATTTCTCGGGGCACAATGCTGCTGTCATGTCTCACAGACCTTACAGTCCACTATGCATCATGGCAGATGTCCTCCAGGAAACAGCCTGTTGGAAAGGGGAGCCATCTAAACCACAACCCTACTGAGGCAGTGTCCTTATGGAGAAATGAGGGTTTAATGCTTTATTGAACACATTCAAACCAAAACAGTTTTCTGATTCTGTTCCAACTGTCCCTGAAGAAAATAACTGCTTCTTGATTTCTTAATTTAAAAAAAAAAAAAAAAAGAAAGAATACAAGTGTGGTTTTATTTCATTATTGTCAGGACAGAGGGTTCAAAATCAGGATGTTTTTCTCCCTGAAAATTTCAATTTTGTGAAAACTGCCTCTTTACTGGGCAGCCTTCCCAAAGGGAATCCCCAGCCAGCCCCAGTGCTAATATCAGTGCATGCTCTTTGGAGCTGATCCAAAGGTCATTCACTCCATTAGACATTTTTATCGTGGACTTGAATAAACTTTGGACCAGGCTCTTTTGGCAGGAACATACAGTCTGGAAACCTAAAAATAAACCCTGATTTGGAGCCATCCACAGCTTTTCAGCAACCATGATGGTACATAGGTAAGGTGATGGGGTGATTTGGCCACCTCTGTGGCCAGACTATCTTTAGCTGTTTGTTGAGATAAACATAGGGGAAGATAGCATTCTACAGTGTTAGAAGCTCTTGATGAAGAATTTCCCTGCAAAGTATCAACTCCAGAAGGTTTAGATGGAAGATGTTGTCTGAAGAGATGATCTGGTTTTCTCTTCAAGAAGTTTTGCAGCAGTAACAGCTTCTGGAATATGTAACACTATCATCCTCAGTCGTAGGAAGTAGAGTTCCCTCCATGATGCACTGTGTCTGCAACAGTAGTTTCGGGGACCAGCAAAAGGTACTGTCCCAGAAGAGAAGAACTGGTCAAACCTCAAAATTTGCACTTTGTATCGTCCATTTGTATCCATGTTCTGAGAGGTTCACAGGAATCAAGAGTGAGAAGAAACCCCTTGGTCACAATGAATCCTTATCCTCTCATTCACGCTGCCCTTTGCTATGCACCATGAAGAGATCACTCTGCAAATACTGACAGCAGATCTCATTCTGTAATTGCCATGCCTAAAGCCTTTCACCTGGAGCCTGCTCCAGCTCTCTGTAAGGACTTGGGTTACAGCTCTGTGCAGAGAAAGCAAAGTGTTTCCAAGCATCTTGACTTTATTGCCGCAAGAGTTTGGTTATGTCTGTTCCTCCTTGCTGGCTGATGAATCACTGGTAAAACACAAGTCACTGGTCACTTGCTGCTGCTGAGGTTGGAGGGAGTGGCCACATTTGCCACAACACTGTTTAGATCCAAAACAAACAATAATTACCATTTGCACAGTGCATATTTAGTAGTGTAGATGTAGTAGATATAGTCAAATTTATGCTAATTTTCATGGTCTAATGCATCTTTGACTTAATTGGGAAAATAAGTGTGCAGAAAATTACAGGGATTTGGGTTTTATGGGCTCTGCTCAGCATCAGTCTCTGTGGGGTTGCTTTTCTGAAAAAGGCAAATGCAATGGAGGAGCATGCTTGGTATGGGACATAGGAGGATACAGTGAAGAATAGGTGGTTGTACCATGTCAGGATATGAAGGCAGAGAGAGAGACAAGGTGGTAAGAGATGAAGAAAGTTGGAGGCTCTAGTTCAGGTGGCAGTGGGCTTGTTTATGCTCACAGACTGGTGGATGCCAGTCCCCATTCCCACAATGCATCCTGCTGGAGCAATGTTGTTTGTTGTAGTCAAGCAGTCCATCCAAAGGGCTCCATCTTCAGCTGGTTGGTCCATTACCTTCCTACACATCTTTTTCCATCCATCTGGGTACCAGATATTTTGTTTTCTATCTGCAACAGGAAAGATTTTGGCTTATCCATGAGGTTCCTTTCAGCCACTCTTTTCTGTGGGTCCTTCATCAATCAGTTGCTGTGATTGTCCTGATTCCCAAGACAACTCTCAGAGCTGCAGCAGACTCTGTTTAAGGGTGTTAATTTGTGGCAGCAATAATGCTACAAATGTGTAGTTTGTTGATCCTGGACTGCAAAGCAGTACTACTGCCTGGCAGCTACACTGCAGGAGCTGGCAGACGGACCTATTTCCAGCACACTTCTCTGAAAGGGGAAAGGGTGTTTCGCTATTTTTTCTTTCCCTCCCTATTCTCCAAGTCAGAGCCTGCCAGGAAGCTTTGGAGAGAAGCTCTGGTGCTGCCTGTGCCTCCCAGACTGAGTGTGATGGCTGGCCTCTTTACCCAGGATTTGGACACCCAGTAAATGGGTTATCACTGTAGGTTGAAGGTGAGGCAAGCCCCCAGGACCTGTGCTGGAGTAGGAGGATAAATGGGGTCCTTCCAGTGTGTGTTTTTGAGGGTCTCCTCCTGCCAGAAATCAGGGTCACTTCTAATCAGCCATTGGACAAACAGGCTAATCTTAAATGTAGGAGCCAGGGTGTCAGATGCTCATGTTGTCACACATGGCCGAGAACATCACACACTAACATGCAGCTATTCTAAGGCTACATTTTGCATCTGGCTCAATGGAACTGTCCTATCTGAGGGGGAGGCAGAAGCTGTAGAGAAATGAAGCTTATGAGCTGTGTCTCTCACTTTGCCACTATCCCTTCTACAAGGAAACTTGCAAACCCTTTTGGGGAGCAGCATGTTGTGCTAGGCACAATCATGTGTTGAGTGCATAGAGCAGTTAAATGTGTGTGTTAGGGGCCACCTTTTCATTGAAGCCTGGTCTCATTTCAGTCCCTCCTCCTGAATGTTAGGTGTTCAGAGACTGAGCTAAAGAGGAGTGAAAATGTGCCAGGGGGCTTTGCTGGGGCTATTCACCAGCAGAACAACTGTGCCAGCAAATTAGGGAGAAAACAAATACCACCTGATCTGTTCTTGCCCAAGGGTAACATTCATTTCTGCATCCTGTTTGCTCTGTATAACACACACACACAGGTGTTATCCTGTGCAACCAGCTACATAAGTGCTGCAGAGCCTTTGTGCCCCCTGGAAGACCTGGCACTATCTTTTCTTGGGATGTAACTGAAATATTATCGATGGGGCTCATTGTGAATTAGACATTGCTCCATGGCAGAGCTTTCTGGTTTAGGTCAGTTTAGGACATGGCAAATGCAGAGCACAGAATGGCCATCATGCAGATGCCCTGGTGTTCCTCTGGAATGTTTAGATTATCTAGAGAGCAGCTGCATCTTTCATATTGGGGCTATAATGGAGAGGGGATGCTCCCATGGCTGTAACTGTTTAACCCTGCAGGTCAAACAGGGTTAGCAAAGCACCTACCCAGTGCAGTTAAGGTGACACCACTTCCTACCTGCCCAGGGCACCCTCATGATCTATGAATTTTAGGCAGTTCCTTTATTAATTTACTCTCCACAGCAGTAACGTCTCTGACCTGGTTCCAGAGTGTCCTTCACAGCTTGTGGTATCAGATTTATCTGTCAGTGCTCACATGAAGATAGAAAACCCTTCACTCCTTATTGGAACAGCATGGCTTTGGTTTGGAACTTGGTTGGCATGTCAGTTTGTCTGTCCATAAGAGTTTGCACAAAGTATACCCAGAGTACATCACCTGTCCCTAAGGTATGGCCACCTCAGGGTGAAAGACAGCAGCTCTTTCATCACGCACTCAGTGATAGAAGATTATAATGAATAGCTAAAACTTCAGAGGGAGAACTGTGTTGGCAAAAGTTGATTGCCCTGTTTGAAAATAGTCTAGAGAGAGAGTGAGAGAGGTTAATGCCCAGGGATTGTACAGGCACAACCTTTGTTTTCCAGCTGCTTTGATGTCTCAGTTAGCAGATCTCAGAGCAAGGACCGGGGGAGCAATTTCTTGGCTGTTTCCAGCTTCTTTCTTTTGGAGCAGGCAGGGAAAGGTTTATTTATTAGAATAGGCAGGTCACAATTTAACTGAGATTGTTAAAGGAATTCAGAGCCTGTGGGATTTCTGACAAGGTGATGAAAGAGGAACTCTGATAGTTACCCAATCAGCTGTTTTTTTCCAAGAACAAAAAAGTAAAAAAAACCCACCTAAATTTAAAAATGAGGATTTTTTGTTTTTATGAATGGGTTCTTGTGGTGTGCAGGCTGCTAACACTATCAGCATTGTTTCTGGGGAACTCCAGGCATCTAATCAATCTTCATTCTGTACGAAAATATTCCAAATTATACGAAAACCACATGGCTTCTCCTGTTTGTAGGGAAAAACCTGACCTGACCCCATCTGTGCTCCAGAATGGCTGAGTCCTCGTCTTAGGACTAATTCCAGCCAGAGCTGTGATCCGTTTTCATTGTCCTGGCACTCAGAAGAAGGCGCTTTGTGTAAGGATGCAGCTTTCCTTAGGAAAAGAGAGAGTTGTTTCAGGGAACATGTGGAGGGAAAGATGGGGTTGGGATCATTGCAATGCACATCCAAGCCGTTTCCAGGTTCTTCATGGCCTTTAGCATGTAGAGGTCAGGGCAGATGCATTCCTGATCTTCACCTGGTTGTAGCGAAAGCACTGTTTGCCTCACATTGACTACTCCTATTTACTCCATCCTCTGAGAACTGTGTCCTGTTATGTGATGGGGGCAGAGTTTAGAGTCTTTTGGGTCAGGACAATATCAGCCGCTGTTTATGACACCTCTTGGCGGCCTCCAAGGCCAAGTTCATTGCCTGTGGCTGTAACCAGCAGCACAGCTGCAGCACAGCTGGAGGCTACCCTCAGCATACTGCAATGCCCAAGCAAGCCCAGACCACACAACGTTAGTAGCTCTCCTGTCTGCCCCCCGGTCTGCTCAGGCAAGCAGTCTGCTGCCCAGAAGGCCTTGCTATGGGAAGGAGACAGATCAGCCTGGAGGCTGTATCCAAGGCCATTCCTCAATCCTCTATGTAACAGCAGGGGACAGCATTGAAAAGTTTTGTGGGGGGCAACTTAGGGTCATTCTGGTATTTTTCACTTGCAAAAGGGGGCCAGTGAAATGAGTTGTCCAGCATCAGCTGTCAAGGCAGAACCATAGTTTTCCCAGGCCAGCACTACAGTCCTGCCTTTCTAATGATCTGTTTGAGCTTGTTTTCCATGGAGACACCTTGCTGCCAGAGTCGTCCCCACAGGTTCCATTCCTCTGTCAGATGCTGGCATGCTCTCCCCTCCTCCTGTGGGAGGCCAGCCCTTACTGGTTGCTTCCATAAAGCATGTTACAATCCCTCTTTAAACTGCAGAGGGCTTGGGAGCAGTCATCTTCAAACAACATTTCTTCCAACACTTAGAGGCAATTGCTTTAATTTGGCTTTTACACACACACAAATCATGCCACAGACGTGGTGGGTGTAAAATAAATACATGTATATACATTAAAATACAAGTTCACAAGGGAAAGGCAAATTTTCCTTTGAAGGAAAGGGACTTCTGCTGAAAAGATGTTATCCTTTGAAGACTAGTAGCTTGTCTCATGAATTACCCTGCTGTTTCCTCAAGATCTTGTGCAGAAGTGTGGTACATCCTGGTCACTAGTTTCAAAGCCCAGTTCAAACCAAAGGAAACTGCAGCAAGTCATCTCTGGAAAGCAACTGAACTGTGAATAGCTCTGGAGATCAAAAGAGAAAAGCTACAGACAAGACAAATGAGTAGGCTATGTAGAAACAGGCTGTGGTGACAGGGCTTGCATCCAGTTTTCAAACTCCAGGAAACACAGGGGAGAATTTTAGGTCCCAGGCCTTGACTTATGAGGATGCAGATCAGTGTGTAAGTAAAATGAAAGGCAACATGATGTAGCAGAGCACTAGCCTGGGATCTCTCAGGTGGCTGGACTAGCTGGTCATTGGAACTTCTCTGTGCCACATTTTTTCTTGTTGCATAGTAGAGAACACTACTTGCCTGCAGCAATTCAGCAGTGAGCAGGGTTCATTCACTTTCTCTCTTTAGTAAATGACTGCAGCTCACCAGAGTTGAAACTAACCTGCCATCTGGCTAAATGCACTTCAAGGAGGAAAAGGAGTCTGGGGCAGGTAAGTCTGCCTGGACCTTCTCAAACATGCTTGGGAAAACAGAGTCAACTGGAATATCCTCACTATTGATGCCTCAGCATGTCTGTACCGGTCTTTATGGCCCAGCAAGTTTGTCTACCAGCATTCATATAACTAAACTGAGTTCTTAATATATTTAGTAGCGTGTAGAAGCTGAAATGTCTCTCAGGGGATCATCTATCTCATTAGCTACAAAAACAACTGCCAGGGCAGTTATCAGAACGCTATGTTGAAAGCAACATGGTCTAGGTCAAGGATGGAGAAAGACTTTACTATATCCTGATGCCCCTCTGGCCTTGGACCAGGTTTATACTTCTCTTGACAATCAGCTTGATTTTATTTCTGGAATGCCAGATATCATGACAGGCCTTGGCATTTGGTGTACTGACAACAACCCTCAGAACTTATGGAGCAGAGGGAGGTCAGGGAGATGTTGAAGGTATTCTGATTTGGGTGTCTACAAAAGCAGTGCACGTGTTCCCTCATGACTGTTCCTGAGCCATGTGAGCAAGTGGCTTGTCCTAGGTCAGAATTGGGGCGGTGTAAGGCTTAGATTCTGCTGGTTCTTTCCTTCCCACCCTGCAGGCTATGAAAAACCACTCTGATTTTGTTTATCCAGGAACCCAAGACTGATCTGACAGCCCAACTGATTCCCTGAACTGGGAAAAAAATGCATATTTTGAACACTTTCTGTGGAACACACATGCATTTGCTCTCTCCTTCTTCAATGATGTCAAGGAAAACTGAGAAAATTCAGCACGAAATCTGCCCTGCACTTCCCTTGTCTACCTTTGGTGTGTTTCTGTTTCTTTCCAAAACAGTTAGATTTCCGGACAAAGAGAATTGAGACTTTGCTTTGAGTTTCTTGGCTCTTCTCAGTCCACGTCTCCCCGGCCATTCCTTTATCCGAACAGAGGCTTTTGTACGCAGTATATGAGGTTGAACCGAGGGCAAATATTATTACAGTCTCATGTTCTGAATCGACACCAGCCAAGCCTCCCTCTGCACTCCTCTAGCAGGATTGCATGTCAAGTTGTTCTTCTTCTCCAAAGGCCCTTCTTCAGCACAGTCATTGAGTCCTTTGGCTCTGCAGGGCAGGACTGCAAACAGTGCTGTCAAGAGAAGAACATTGTCCTCCAGTCACTGCCTCTCCGGGACTGGGTTGTGCAGCTGAAATCCAGGTGTTTTGTCTGGAGAAGGTGAATGCTGAGACTTCCAGTGGCCTCAGAAGAGAGAAAGCAACAGTTAGATCTGGGCTCTGTATGCAGACAGGGAGCAGCAGTGAGTTCAGAAACTAAATTGGTTTGGAGGAAAGCCACTCCTCCAGGGACAGAGTGGGAAGAAATAACTGGAGGATAACATCCAAAACCAGCCTTGAAGCTGCTAATAGACTGTTTGTTATCTCTCCCTACTTCTTTCATCTGACTTTTTGTGCCATTTTGCCTTTTGTTGATGCCTTTCCCTCTCAGCTGTTCCACTAATGACTTCCTTGCTTCACTTTGAAGCCCTCAGTGGCTGTTACTTATTTTCCCTTTCAGCTAGTTAATTGCTTTCATCCTTTGCTCTTCTCTTTGGCAGGAACAAAGGGAAGGAGATGGCAAACAGGAGAAGAGATGTGGATGGAGGAGGCTGAGTCAGTAAGAAAACTGGTTCCATTCCTCTGTGGAGGCATTCTGGAAAGATTCTTGCTCTAGTCAAATGTTCCTGCCATGGCAAGTGCTGTATATTTGAGGAAACTGTAGCCTGTGAAATGCTGTCTCTGGTGAAGCACCTTTCTGGGAGGAACCTCTGGTGAGTAAGGTTGGGTTTTGGGTTTTTTTTCCAGTTTTTAAGGGATATTATCACACCTTAATCTTTGGTAGGGCATGAAATGGGGTTTGACAGAAGTTATAGGTAGTGGTAAATTCCTAAGTTGCACTGAGGTGTTAGACTTGATACTGGAAAGGAAGTCTGCAATGCTGCCTCTGGGGTTTAGGAAAAGGTCACTTGACTTCACAGTTCAATAGAGTATGAAGCATTATAAGCCAATAATTGCAATATCCATCTAACTGCTCACCCTGCTCTGTCCTTTGGTGGCCCCATCAGGCTCCTTCAGTGTTCCTGTTGACTCATCTCTTCCCCTTCTTTGAAGTTTATGGTTCTAATGGAGCCTTCAACCTGCCCCTCTGATGGAAGCCTGCATGCAGAGGTAGCTAGGTGTGGGTCTGGCTCTCCCTAGGAGCTGGTCCTTCTTTGGTGTGACTGATGTCTCCTGTGAGCTGTTTGGCAGAGATTCTTTAACCTTGTGCACTTTGGAAAGTTTCCAGACTCTGTTTTTTTCTGCCCCTTGTAGTCTCAGAGGCTGATATGCACATTGCTTTCATTTGTTCTTCAAATGAAACCCCATTATATCTGGGGGTGCCTGGCTGGTAAGTCACTAATTTACTTCACAGTAGCTTAGCATGGTTTTGAAATGCCTGTTTTGCTATGGGGTTTCTGTTCATTGCAAGGCTGTGCAAACCTGTAAAACAGCACTGGAAAGAATTTCTTTAGAAAAGAGGCCCAAGGTGAACCATACTTCTGTTCACCCATAGGGCTATAAAAGTACTAAGGGTTGGTGCTGTTTTACAAGCTTTCTGAACTTGTAGACACTGCTGGTTTGTGTATTGGGTAAGGATCTGCAGAGAAAGGGACAGAGAATGTGACATGGGCCTTCTGTCTGCATTCTCAGAATGGTACCAGTGTGGTTTGTATGAGGTAGGATGAGCTTCAAGTGCCAAAGCATCTCTGATCTCGAAACATATCCCCAGCCTTAACAGATGACCTAAAATCTCTTCCCTTGTGAGAATCATGTTGTCTTTTCCAGCCTCTCTAGCATCATTGCATTTTTCCATGTCCTGTCTTGTGCCTTATTTGGGTTGTCCCTGCCCACATAAAGCAAGTTCTCTAGTAAAGAGTGGATATGCCTCCTCAGGAAATTTCTTGAATGACCTAAACAAAGACAGAAGTCAGTGTTTCAGGGTGTATAAGTCGCTTACTGACCCAACTCATGTGGTAGTGATGTTTAGATGCACTTTGGTTCTCCTTTGGGCTGGTTTACTGTCACTTCTCTGCTCCTCCAGAGCAAAGATGAACACTACAGACGGAGGCCTGTTTTGCCAAAACTATAGAGACCTGCTGCACAGATTGATGCATGCCTTCATACTGAGGTAAACTGGGAGCAGCATCACTGAACTCAGTTGAGGTAGTGCCAGTTAATGCACTGGGAAAACAGCTGAGATGGGAAAAGACTGAGCAGTGGGCCAGAGTAGGGAGTTGGGCTGAGAGGAGGCAGGGAGGCTGTGTTTCATTCTGCTCCATGTCAGTGGTGCTGTAGAGCCATCAGCAATGCTGCAGAGAGTAAAAGCACTTGGAGGAAGCACAGCAGCAGCAGCTGCTGGCAGGAACACCACCAGTTGTGCTGGAGCAGGGGAAGCAGCCCTGCACAGCCTGCGAGAACTGCAGGAGCAGTAGTAGGGTTTATGCTGCAGCAGCCAAAACTTCAGTTTAAACAAACCAAATCTGTCTAACCTCAAAGCTGCAGGCATTCATCAGCCTGCACAGAGGCAATGCGTCCTAGGGCCAACTGGCACCTTTGCCTTGAGGACTTACTCCTGCAGGAGCCCTTAGTTGCAAACTGGGTTAAGATTCTAGGCAGTCTTCTGCACAAAGCCTCAACGATCTGAAGGGATCTGCTTCTGAGGCAGCTTGAAGCAGGACCAAGGGTCTTTGTGTAACAATTCTACATGAACACATGGACACAGCAGCGCCAGTCCTTTTATAGCAGCTAAATTGGAATCTTTTCCAGCCCATGTGCTGTTACTTGGTCCTCACATTTGTGGTTCCCTCCTTCCTTCAGCTGTTTTTGCGTACATATTTTTGAAACAGAAAAGCAGAGTATTTCAAAGATTTCTCTGTGTTAGGACTGTCTTTCTGGTGGTGTGGCTTAGACTGGATTGCTGTATTCCATATAACCCTGTTCAGTAATAAATGGTATTTGCTTCATTGGCAATATTCCTCTCTGCTGGCTACTCACTTACAAAGCAGTCAGATTCACTTGACTTTAATAGGAGGCTGAAGCAACCTGATGGGGACAACTTTTCTCAGATGGGGTGCTTTGAAATGAGAAGAGAATCAAGGACACTGCTGCTTTGCTGGGAATAGGACAAAGTCACCTCTGATAATGTGACTTTAGGACTTTCTAAGAAACAAGCAAGGCTACATTTTCAGCTCTGAAGTCTTGGTAGCCTCAGGCTTTTGGAAAACTCTATTTCATTTAGATTCTGGCATCTACTTTTGTTTGCTCGGACTATAAAGACCTTTTTATTCTCATCCTCAAGAGCTATTTACCATTCAGCACATGTGGTCTGCATCGCTCACACTAAAATCTTTTGAGGGCTTGGCAATCCGTTTGAGTTCTCTGATCAATGCTGGCTAAGGAACAATGGTAAAAACCCATGGAATTCTGTTGCCCAAAATGTGCTGCCCCTGTTCTGATTAACCAGCAGCCTCAGCTGAGGTAGGGATTAATGTTTTTCAGCAGTGCTGGTGTAAATCTGGAGTCACTACACTGAACTCAAAGCAGGTGTATCAATGTAAAACCAGAGGACAACTTTGCTCATGTGTCCGCAAAGAAAGTGAAGATCTGAGGTTTGCTTTCTACAGTGATTTACAGCTTAGTGCTTCCGTGCACTGTTGACACTTTCTGTTAGTTCCATAGGCATCTCCCTCCAAACATGCATAAAGCTGGCACCAAGGCCTGTATCCTGCAGCTAAACTTAAATCATCTGTGCATGAAAATCAAAGTTTGAGCCTTGCAACAGCTTGTCTCTGAGCTCTCACTACTCAGGGTATTCAAGCAGCAAGATTCAGCTTCAGCCCCTCTATGTACAGTTGAGTGGAAGGGTGTTGATCCCATGGGAGAAAACACCACCTTCCTGCAGCCATTCTCCTTTAGCAGCTTGGAAACTTGTCAGTCAGAGAAGCAACTTCCCATTGCTAAATATTGCACTGTAAGTGTCTGGAAGAGGTGTGTGTGAAGGCAAGGGGGAACTGGGCACACTGGTTTTTGAAAAGCAAGAGGATGGGGGTGGATAGCAAAAGCTGTACAATGAGAATGTCTGTTTATAGCAAGGAAGGGCAGAAACCAGGTAGGATCTTGCTGCTGGAACAGCTCCTGTAAAGAAGGAGCAGAGGTCTTAGGAGTCTACGTGTGAAAATGTAGAACATAAAACCACCCCCAGCCAGATGGCTGCTAGTTGCAAAAGCACTGCATTGAAATAGAGGCATAACATAAAAACCTGATGGTTTCGTGTGGCTTGTGGAGGCCACAGCTTAGCAAGGCACCTGCCTGAAATGAAGCACACTACTACCTCTATGCCCTGTTTTGCGTTTTACTAAACAAGAGTAAAAAGAAGTCTGGTTTTCTTCCTATCAGTTTATTCAAGCAGCAGAGTGAAATGACTGTCAATGTGCTGCATTGCCTGTGCTTAAAGCAGAACCTAAAATAAAACCTAGAGGGTGAGACTCATGGGGGGGAGAAGTCTGTCACTTCCTCAGGAAACACCTATAACAACAGCTCTTGGAAAAAACAGTCAAGAAAACCTCTCCTGTTTTGATTTTTAAACCCCCTTCTCTGCTCCCAACTCCAGCATTCTCCTTGTATTTATTTTGCTTGAGACATGGTCCAATTTTTACTTTTTGCTGGGTTAAATGAGCAATAAGTAGTAATCAGATGTTGACATAAAGTTACATGTACACCTGCTGGCTGCTCAGAAAGAACAAGAATGCTTTTAGTTAAGCAATGGCAAGTAAACTAAGATACAGCAGTTAAGTTCACTAATAAGAAACCCAAGCAGTTAAATTATATGTATTTATTAAATCACACAAGACTGCTGAATGACCTTTTTCATTTGATGGTGCCTGGTGAAACCAGGTCTGATTTCAGTTCTGACTCCAAAATCTGGTATTCTTCAAGGATTTTCCAGCAAACTGTGTATTAGAAGGAGCTTTCAGATGAAAGGGAGAGGAGCTATGATGCACATCAGTATAAATTAAGTCCTGATTTCAAAACCCAGCATTGATGCCATTCTAGTTGTAGAGAGCTTTTGGAGGGTTCTTTAGATGGCTTTCAGGGCAATGGTGAAAAGAAAGAGAAAAGAAGCTATCAGGAAGGGCTGGAGTGATGCTGCTGGAATTTGATTGTTTCCTTGAAGACTTAAGGCCAAAGAAAGGTGAACTTTGGGATGGTAAAACCAGAGTGCTTAGAGTAAAAGGAGAGAAGAGGGGGAAGAGGTGAGATGAAGGAGAAAGGAAGCAAATGCAGAGCAAACATAAGTTTCTTGTCAGACTGTTGGACAATTGTGAAGGCATTTGAGTTCTCCTTGGAATACATTGCAGTATGTGGTAACAACAGCCTGGTGGAGACTCATCCCCAGCTCCCAATATCAGAGTCAGATTAGGAGCCATCTTAAAATGGGCAGGTCATTATCCCAGTTGCTGTATCCAGGTATTAAGCCCTATAATTGCCTGAGCAGATTCTGTTTCTTGTATGTGCTCTGTTTTCAAACTAAATATGATCTTTGAATGCTCTCAGAGGAACTTTTTATTTGGACCAGTACAGTCTTCCTGGTTTTAATATTGTCTGACTTATTATAATCAGTTTTCTCAAGCAAACTACTTTGGACTTGTGTTGGGCACTGTAAAGCATTAGGCCTCTCTGCAACAAGGCCAGACAGA